AAAAAAAACAAAACCCAATTTGAGGTCCTTGATCATCTATTGTTGATAGAACCTCTATTTTTTATCTCCAATAATGCCCAAACAAGGGTTGCCACCAAGCTCTCTTAATTTTGAATTTGGATGGATATTTATAAGATTTTAGAAATTCTAATTGAAATAGAAATAGCACTTGAAGCAAAATAGGAAAGTTGAAATTTGGACGCTGAACGCATGGTGTTGACATCTCGAATTAAGTCAATACAACAGGAAGCAGAGTTTAATTCTAAACGTTTAACGCATGGTGTCGACACTCCCATTATGTGTCGACACTACACTGGTGTCGTTCCATTTTACAATTTCTTCAATGGTAAAATAGCAGATCTGGTCCTCCATTGTTTATAAGATAAGCACTTAGATCCCACAACTAGGGATTCATTCATTTAAGTCCCAAAGAAGCGCCCTTCTTCTTGCAATTCAGTCCCTCAACTTTCAAAAGATATTCAATTAATCTCAAAAACTTTCATTTTTATGCATTTAAGTTTTTTCTGCACAAAAAATTCGAACCATGTAAAATCTCATAAAATTCAGTAAAATCTCATAAAACTCATCCAAATATCAATAATATCAAGACAACAATTCCATATTAATATATATACAAATTCAACTCATCAGAGATTTTTTGGCTCACTTAAAGAAAAAAAAATTAATTTTTCATATCTTGGCATTTGGCAATAAAGAATTAGATTAAAGCTTTTTGGGTTAAAAAAAAAATGAAAAGGTTAGAGCGTTCTAGTGATGGGATTTTGGAGATAGAGCTGCTTCAATTCGCCTAAATCCTAGATCAATACAAAGCTCCAGGCACTTTGTTCCTATATTTATGGCTAAAGTCCCATTATAGTAGACAAATAGGAGTAAAAGAAAGGAAGTAATTCGCCCTTGCATTGTTCATTTTAGAAGCGAAAATTATCTCTTCTTTAAACGCTGCAACAGAGGTAGAGCTTAGCTGAAGACGGAAAAGGGGAACTTTGCTTCTAACACGACGAAATCAAAGACACATAAAGTGCAAAATTCAATGATAGTTATCCGGTCAGTGCAGAAGCCAGATCTAGACAACCACCAGTCTTCTATGGCCTAAAAATTCCAGGAAAATCAAGTCCATCACATGAAAAGCTTCTGCAAGTACACAATTTCTATCCCGAATTGCTGTAAAAATTCAAAGATATGGCAGTTCTAGAAAGAAAAGAAAAAAAAAAAAGATGAAGATGAGAGAGGAACCGAAGAGAGATAAAATATTTCGGCCGGTGAAATTGTTCGTTTAATATGTTCCCGAGTGAAGAATGTCTACAAAACCTCGGGTATAGCACGTGGGATGTATCCCGAACCAATAATATTTTGACACATTTTAGATTGTGTGACCATGAAACACCTAAAACTGACACCGTTTCTTACCTTCTTTCTTCCCTTCTCTGGGCCGTTTCTACTTCTTCTCTCTCTGTTTATTATTTTTTCATTTCTTTGCTGCGTTTACCTACTTCTCTTGAAAGGTTGAATAACCATTTCTTTTTCTTTGTGTAGTTCCAATAAAGTGATTTATGAGATTATTTTGATTTTTGATAGTAATTAGATTTTTTTCCCTGCAAAATATTATATCATCAAAACTAAAATCTTTTTATCTTGGATACTATTGTCATCAATTCACAAAAGAAATTCACTTTGAAATTCAATTGGGGAATGTGAAGGAAGGCTGAGACTTTGGAGTTATACTATCAGAAATCGTGCATTTGAATGCTTTGGCGATCTGTAAAATAAGATTTTTGATGCCCGCAGTGCCTTTGAACCTAGACCATGGCAGCTGTCATCTACCTCTTTCATCATTTCTCCTAAACCCATCCATTTTTGCTTTCCCTCAAATTCCACATTCAATATTGATGCTAATCATCACAAGAAGGTGTTTTCAGAGCAATCCCTCTTGTACCCTTGCGAGAAGTAGAAAGAGATTCCCCCGAATCCTGTCAATGAAAGTGGAGAATGAAAAGCAAAGGAAATGCCAATAGGAGAAGGAAGACACAAGGCGAAACAAAGGAAAAACGACGACAGGAAACAGCGTTAGTTTTAGGTATTTCATGGTCCTACAATCTAAAACGTGTCAGAATATTATTGATTTAGGATATATCCTACGTGGTATACCCGAATATTGTAGACTCTCTCCCAAGTGATATGTCTTTAATTTATTAAAAACTAATTTAAAGGTAATTTCTTTATATTATTTTTTAAGAGAAAAGTAATTATTAACATAAATATTAGAGTTTTAATTTTAAAATATGTCATTTTATTTAATTAAAATTTAATTTAAAATTTAAAAATTTATTTTATTAAATATTAATATTTAGATTTAAAAATTAATTATATTAAAATATATAATTAATTTTTAAATTCAAATATCAAATATTTAATAAGATAAATTTTTAAATTGAAAATTGAAAATTTAATTTTTAAATATAGATTGAAATTTTATTTTTTTTTTTAAATTGAGATTGATAAACACTAACTTCTTTTTTTTAATATATTCTTATGTATTAGTTAAGTAATCAATTTTTTATTTAACATTTATAATATTAAATATATCTATTTATTTAATAATATATAAAAATTATATAAAAAATAAATTACCTTTATATCACTACTTAATTTATTAATGAGGTGTTTATTTTTTATGAAATGTCATTAAATAAAGATACAACTAAGGCGATATTCCCGTAGTCCTTGATGGATTGATATTGTATCTCTAACATCTTAACTCATGATAAGGTTCCAAGCCCCTAT